TTCCAGTAACCCTAAGGGAGGCTCCCAGGTAAACCAGGCAAAACTGGCTCAGTTCATTTCTAAAGAACCAATTCCATCAGCTGTCCCCGCCCCAGTCCTCTCTAGTGGGAACCCCTGAGAGAAGTACTGCCATGTTGCTTCAGTTCCCCTCATTTTCTCACCTTCCCTCCTGAAGTTCCCTTTGGTGACGTTCCAAGAGCTCTTTCCTCAGCTCCTCTTTCTCAAGAGTGTGCTTCTCCACCAGGCTCAGCAGCTGCTCCTGGTAAGATTGCTCCAGGTCCTGCGTCAAGCCCCTCACCTTCTTTTCGGTCCAGGCAGCACTCCGAGAGAGCTCCTCTCTCTCCTGCTCAAAGTTCTCCTCTGCCTGCTGCAGCCTGGCCTTGAGCTCCCGCTCATGCTCCAGCCGCAGCTCCTCCTGAAGCTGAGTCTTCTCCTCCTCAAACATCAGCTGCAGTTGTTTTTTTTCCTCCTCGTGCCTGCAGCTGGCCTCATGGTGGGCCTCCTTCAGCACCATGGCCTGCCCTTGGAGATCTGCGATCTCACCACGAAGGTCACTTATTTGTGTCTCCAAGGTGTGCATTCCATGCTCATACTTTTGCTTCATGGCCGCCTGCTCTTTTTCACAGGTGACCCTGGTTTCATCCAACTGCTTTTCATAATGGTACACCTAGAACCAGACAGTGGAACCGCTGGATGACTGGGTTCTAGGTTGTGCAAAGGGAGGGTGGGGACAAGTGATTCTGTACCACAGGACACTCTTGGTTTCTCAGTCTGATTGAAAGTGACTTAGCTCAAAATTACCTGAAGTAAAATAATAGCAAGCAAGGTCTGCTTTTATTTATTTAGGTATGCGTGTATGTATGAGCATGAGTGTTTGTATATGTACAAGGAGACATGTGTGCAGGTGTGTGATCACATGTGTGGGGGCAAGAGGCCAACCATAGCATCATTCCTTAGGCACTATCCACCTTCTTTCTCCTGACAGGTCTTTCATTGGCTTTGAACTAACTAAATAGGTTAGGTTGGCTAGCCAGAGAGCTCCAGGGTCTATCATGGAACTAACAATTCATTCCCTGACTTTGTGTTTGCTATGGCCTGAGGAGTACCTTATGAAGTTCAAGAACCATTTGAAGACTTAAACGGAGTATTTTAAGTCTCAAAGTTTGCAGTAGGAAAGAAAGATGTGAAGGCAAAGAAAGCATATGTGAGGCTCCATGTGGTGCTTGGCGGCAGTGGAGTTATTTGGAAACCAGAAAAATTCAAGTGAACACACAAAAGCAGAGGCGGGGGAGGGGGCACTTGGCAAAGGGGACCTCAACTTGAAGCCTGAAATCCACATAAAAACAGCTGGGCATGGTGGCCCTTACTTGTGATGCCAGTACTAGGAAGGTAGAGACCGATCAAGGAAGACACGACATCAATATCCAGCTGTGAGACACTCATCTGCTCTCAAACACAAGTATGCATACACATGTAAACATGCATACCACATGCAAGAAAGAAAAAAAACTCAACACATGGTGAAGGTGAGCAACAGCCACATAGTGAAGGAGGGAAAGAAAGGCCAAGGGTAAGAACTTGCATCTAAACTAGTAAGTGGTACTATGTCAGAGAAAGGGCTTTGTTTGTTTGTTTTTTAATTGGGATATTTTTAAACAAGCTAAAAACACTATAATTAGTACATTACAATATGTGAGGCTGCGCACATCACATGCAGGACAATTTCCCATTGTCCGCAATAAGATCAAGGGAAAATCACATCACAGAACAGGTCTTGACCTCAACTACCAATCCATAGAAATGCACAGGAAGTGCTGGTCTCGGAGGAAAAAGCATCAGGACCATGGTATGCTGACAAGACTCTCAGCCATCAGAGAACAAGACTGGGAAGCAAGACTTACTTTCTCTTCCAGCTCCAGTCTCAGGTGACACAGGTCCCTGTGGTGTTGTTCTTTCATCTGTTCGATGACCAGCTCAGCCTCAATGCTCATATTCAATGGATTGCATTCTTCAGAACCAAGCCCTGAAAACACATGGAAACCACTGACCCTTCGGGTTCTGTCACTGGCACACTCTGCTATCTGGCGATAGCTTGACTAAGGAATTCTTTTCAGCCTGATTTGCCCATGTGTGAAGCACTTGGAAACAATAGAAGCTGTGAAAAATTCTCTGCTCTTCAAACATTTGAGCAACAAGAGGAAGAAGGTGAATAGATTCTCCTGAACATAGGTGGTGTGCTAAACCTTAGTAGAGTCCATCTTTTAGAATGATTTATGGTTGTGTGTGGAATATGTTGGTTGAATGTGAGCTCTCAGTAAAAATGCTTTATGGCAAGGAGATAGCAACCAGCTTTTTGTCTATCCAGAAACTGCTCAGTGACAAATTCAGAGGGATGATGCAACAGGGGAACAAATAAATGACTATTAATTACCCTTGCTGCCGAGTCTTCCAGGGCTAACTTTGTTGTAATAAGAAAAGCAGTGCTCGAGAGAAAGATGCCATGCAACAGGGTTCAAGCAGAGGGGTTTTTATTAGAGAAAGGGATCATAAAAGGGGAAAAAAGAGGGGGAGACCAGCCTTCAGGGACAGGAGCAGCGGGAGAGAGGAAAGAGGGACACACAGAGAGGAACAGACAGAGAGAAAGAGAGAGGTGGGGAGGATGGGAGGTGGGCAGGGCCCATTTAAAAGGGAACATAGTGAATATGCACAGGTGGTGCTCTTAGTGGCAGCAGTTGAGGGTGTATCCTGCCAGAACCCCATGGGCAGGCCAGGACAGATACCTGAATACTAACAAACTTCATGAGCCAAGATGCCAAATCCATCTCTCAAGGCTGCACACAATAGTTTTACTGTCATGAGTTTCCTGATGTCTAGGTTATTTTCACCTTAAACAATCCGTTAAAGATAGGACATGGGTCAGGAGTGTGGGTGCAGGCAACTGGGAAGGAGACTCTCAACGCCTTCAAAGGAGTTTACTTTTCCCATTATCTACAAATAAGGACCAAGAGGAAATTGAAAATATGAGCAGAAGCTGCGGGTAGATCTAGCACAAGGTCAAATTTATCTACTACCGGGTAAAGATATCTTAAGGGCATGAGACTCAAATAGTTTTGTCACTGAAAGATGTGAAGGCAGATGGAGAACCGTTCTTGGGTGAAGTTCTAGCAGCTGGGATTGACAGTCTTGCCTTGGGCTTTCTCTTCGTATTATTTCATCACATCCCTGCTCCAAGATGGCAGGGTTGCTTAGAAATAACCTCCAACATTCTGGTGGACACGCCTAGCCCTGACTGAGTCAAGGACCAGAGAAAAGGACACACAGCTTCTTACACCTCCTCTCCAGCCACCTACAGTAGAGGTGAGCAAAGGATAAATCACCTTCCTAAGAACCAAAGGGAGGGAGAAGCTACAAAGAGCAGCAGAAGCTAGGATACTGAGCAAAGAGGCAGGACTCAGGCAAAGAACTGGCTGTGACTGTAACAGGCATGCTATCCACTATCCCCTCAAAACCACGGGCACTAACTCTTAACTTATTTGCTGCTCTGCAGAGGCAAATCAGGCATTTAGCCTAGCCAGCCTATGAAAATCAGTTATGGGTTCTGTGGTGTGTGGCTGGCTAACTCTTCCAAACCATCTTCATACCAGGCAGACACTAATGGGGAGGAAAGAGCCTACAATATCAAAATCAGAAATATTTTTATAACGACCTCAAGGACAAATGAAAAACCCTGCCACAACTGAAATAGCTCAAGGAATGAGACTGCCAAAGTCTCTCCCTCCCTGGATGCCAGGATGCCAGTGTTCAGCTGTGCTGCACTCAACCATGGTTCTAAAAACTAGGTCAAATGCAGATACCTAAAAGATCATGTGCAAATGTGTTTACCTTGGTCAGGTTCAATGCCACCACTGTTAACATCAAGTTCTTCTGACAGCGAGTTCTTCAAGGGGAGCCTGAACACTTTGCCTTGTGCACGATATTCCTCTAGCTCTGAATGGAGTTCATCCACTTGGTCTTGTAATAGCTGGAGTTTAAAAACCAACACCAGTCTTACATGGGGCACCAAGAGCACAAGCCACAGAAAAACAGATAAACAGGATAACAGCAAAATATAAACTTTTGTGCTTCAGAAGACACCAAGAAAGAAAAGAGATGGGGGCTGAAGAGAAAACTTGGAGGTTAAGAACCTTTCTTGCTCATGCACTGGACCTGAGTTTGGTTCCCAGCATCTGTGTCAGGTGGGTCACAATCACCTGTGACTCCCACACCAAGGGGAACTGATGCCCTCTTCTGGCCTCTGTGGGTACTGCACTCATGTGCATAAACAACACAAACACATATACACATAACAAAAAATAAAAATACATATTTTTTAAAAAGTAAAAAAGACAATGCATGCAATTGGAGGAAATTTTTGTTAACTACCAGACAGGGACTTATAGCTAGAATTTATAATGATTTTTAGAAGTTAAAGACAAGGAATTCAACCCAAAAATGGGCAAAGACTATAACAGCTAGCCTGTAACACTGTTAGCTATCAGAAGAATGGTAAAATCCAGGACAGTGTATGACAACAACTATAAACAAAGATGTGGGGAAGCCAGGACTCTCATATGGTGAAAACAGCATGATCTCACCACCTTGGAGGAGGTCTGCCAATTCCTGAAAGTTAAAACATTGATTTCTCCTGTGGCCCAGTTGAACACTTGCAGGTATAAACCCCAAGCAAAAATCTACATAGAAGCATTCATTATTCATGATAGCCCCTAAAAACCCAAATGTCTACTAACTGATTAACAAAATGTAACATCAATATAATGGGATTTTATTCAGCCACTGGAAGGAACAGAACATGAATACATGCAACAATATCACCAAATGAAGGAAGCCATTTACAAAGACCATTTGTTACATGATTCCATTTCTACGAAGGGTGAAGATTGGCTCTATTAAGACAGAAAATAGATCAGTGGTTGCCTGTGGTAGGGGGAGGGGGGAGGGGACAACAAACAGGAAGAGCTGGCTAAAGTGAAAGTGGGGGTTTCTTGGGAGATGACAACATTCTCATACTGAATGTAGTCAGTGTTGCTTAGTTGTTTGAATATAACTAAAGACACAGAACTGTAAACCTTGAATGAAAGATGGAACTGGGAGAGCTCTGAAGGTATCAGTAATGATTCATTCACTTTAGAGACAATTAAAAAAAAAAAAAAAAAACAACTACATGATTAGGCCTAAGAGCTGATCATGAAGGCGGTTTACTAATGATTCATTCACTTTAGAGACAATTAAATAAAAAAAAAAAACAACTACATGATTAGGCCTAAGAGCTGATCATGAAGGCAGCAGAGAAGTGCCTGTCACCTCTTATGTGCACACACAGCTCCTGAGAAGGCAGGACAAAAGCAAACTTTTGAGGTGACAGAGTTCCTCATCTCTGCACAAGGACAAACTGTATCTAAAATAATCAGAACTTGGTGCTACTTACCTTGTTAATAAGTAGTTTTGGTTAAGAAAAAAATCGAATTGCTAAGCTTAGGGGAGTTAAGAAACAAGGACCTCTGTTAGTCATAAGAACAACTGTACCTGGTTGGCACTGGGAATGGCTAACAGCTATCGAATTGCTAAGCTTAGGGGAGTTAAGAAACAGGGACCTAGTCATAAGAACAACTGTACCTGGTTGGCACTGGGAATGGCTAACAGCTAATGCTTGAGTGGTTTCTGCTCCCAGTTTTGTATTTTTCAAATAAAGGGAGGCATTCAGAAAAAGGGGTAGGGAAATAGGAAAGATTGAATGCAGTCATATTAAGTTTGCAGCAATCAGCTAGAGAAAGCTAATTTTGGAATAAGCACATCAACAGAGCCACATATTTCTTCACTCAGCATAAAACTGGATATTCCTCTACAAGTCGCCAGATAAGGTGGTCCCTGAATGCAGTTCTCCTGATTACCTACAGTCCAGGATATGGAATACTATTAATAGCTAGCATCCATGTATGTGTTTAGCATGTCACTGGCTCTGTTACACAGATGCTCTCTGAACCTCCACAGCTGCCCTTTGAGTGGGCACTCCTTTTGCCACTGTGCCTAAAGGAAGTTGAGGCACCCACAGATTTCAGTGGGTGTAGCCAAGAAGTGCTGAGGCTAGGATTTGAACCCAAGTCCTCTTGTGTTGCTTAGTTCTCACCAGCCACTCACCCTGCACTGTTGCTCGTATTCATTTCTCATCTGCACCAACCTCTCTTCTTGAAGAAAGAATTCAGCACTGCTAGGGTCAAGGTCACCAAACTAGAAAGGACAAAGAAACAAAGCTGTCATTTTTCCCAAGGGCCCTTCTTTGACCTATCACATTCCAAAGATCCAGCTTCTGGTGTCACCCGAGCTCCCAGATATGACAGGAATGTGGCATTTGAGCAGAGACACCAGCAACCGGAAGAGGAGGAGAACATCCAAGAGCGAGATGCATTCTGCTAGGGCTGGGAGCCCTTCTCAGTGCCAAGCAATGTGTCCCCTCACAGCCACTACTCTAAATTATATCCTGAGAAGTCACAACTTCCTGTAGGTATCCAAACAGTTCCCTAATAAAAATGTTCTTGGCAATGCCTCTGCCCTTTTGGGTGAGTGACATTTTGGGCAACTCATCAGGAAGTCGGAAGTAGGCAGCGCTACCTTTTCTGCTAACACATTTTCCAGATTGTGCTGAAGTTTGTTGGTCAGGGACTCGTACTCTGCCAACTTCGCTGCGTTTTCCAGAAGCTCATTTTCCAGGCGATGGTTTTCCTTGAGAAATTTGGTAAAATAAACATGACACAAGTCAGAAATCAGAACAGTTTTAACACTCTTATATGAAGTATAAACCAAGGCTTGAGATTAAGATCCTGAAAGCTGGAGAAAGCCGGAAACAAAACAATTATTAAGAGGTTGACACCTAGCTCATGATCTGAAAGTCTGGTTTTAAAGAAAACCTTATCAAATTGTGCTGCCCCCCCCCTTAGCTACTAACAGGCCCATGAGGATATTGAACATTTGGGATACATCTAGAACCAATGGAGACATACACTTTCAGAGGGAAATACACACTGGGTCCGAGCAGCAAGCTACAAAAATAGAAGACAGCGCAAAGTGACTTGTGCTCACTGGTTCCATTTCAAAATAACAATTCCTTGTAGACACTGAATTAAGTGACTTGAAGTTAATTCACTTTTTTAAAAAGGATATTATTTTTAATATGAAAATTTTACTTTAACAGCAGTACATGTTTTTTTTGTTTTGTTTTGTTTTTAAAGAAAGTACATATATGGCCTTATTTTCTTTCTATACTGCATTACAGTGGAGTATTTTAAATGACATATTCTCGGTGAATTTTTGAACATAAGAAATCAATTATAAATACCTTTTCTAGGGCAGCATGAGCTGGTTCAGTGGGTAAAGACACTCACCCGCCACCAAGTCTGACAAATTGAGTTGATGCCTAAGACCCATGTGGAGGAAAGTGACAACTGACTCCTGAAGGTTGTCCTCTGGCCTCCACATGCTCATGTCATTGTGTGCCCCCACCAAACAAGTCAATATTAAAAAGAGACATCTTATCTACTTATAGCAAGAGACTCAGAAGAACTATAAAGAGAGTAAATCCAAAATCAATTTTAATTAATGGGCATTACAGTTTATAGCAAATTTATAGATAGTTTTGGTTTAAGGAAATAGAAGTTATACATAAAGGGATCATAACTGATATGTATGTATAAGCAAATTATAATAAAATAACACACCAACTGAAACTCACAGACCTTTTTCTCCATTAAAAAGAAAGAGACCTTTCACAGTACATTTTAGAAAGATTTCACCCATATTTGTTTAAAAAAAAAAAAAGGAATACAGACTTGCCATTTGACATATTTTCTTCTCCAGTGTTAAGGGCTAATTGGAAGAATGTTATTTTCCAAGTACATTTTGCCAAAAGAATACAGAGCCAGTATATTTTTAATGTATTCTAGTTCACACTCTCACATAGCAATATGGAGTTTTAAAAAAATGTACTTAAAGCACTAAAAAAAAATAGTTGGGGGAGAATAGTAGTGTATGCCTTTAATCCTAGCACTCAAGAGACAGAGGCAGGCGGATCTCTGTGAGTTCGAGTCCAGCCTGGTCTACAGAGTGACAGCCAGATTAACCAGGGCTCCACAAAGAAACCCTGTCTCGGAAAACAAAACAAACAACAACAGCATAATACTACCTTCTCCTAAAATGCCAACTCTATTATTTTAATCTCTGAAAGAATAGCCACACTTAGAGGCTGAACTGATAGGAGCAAACCCTGCATTCCAGACACTACTGCTGCCCTGGACACCAAATCACATACTGCCACTGAGCACAAGGGACAATGCGGACCACAGGAGGAAGGCCAGGGCAGGGAGGGGCAGTACAAACAGCTACAATAGTAGAGGTACAATCTCTTGACAACAAGAAAGGAGTGGTAACGGGAATGGGAAGGTGATGCAGCCTGTGGTGTTGGGGTCACGGCAAAAAGCATAAATGAAGAGCAGAGAGCTCCTGGAAGATGCGGTGAGACCAGGACACTGGGAGTAGCAGGCAGGAGCTGAGGTTAGAGCATCCTGGCAGTGCCCTTGACAGCTAAACCAAAGGTACCAACACGTTTGTACCCTTTTTTAGTAAGCTCGCTCTGATGGATGCATGGAGGAAAAGGACTGTTGAGGGCACACATTATCACCTGAAGGGCTGTGGTGAGTTTGGAGCCTAATGCAAGGCTGGGGAAATGCAGAGGAAGGGGTTTGTCTAAGAGGTGTTTCAGAGCACCAACGTGACTTAAAAGTGGTAATGAGGAAGGATGGCTGGGAACTTTAACTTCAGGGACATACAGCAAGTCAGGAGACAGCAGAGACTGGCATTGTTGTGTGGACCTGAGGGGCCCCTCATCATAGCAACAGCAGCAGACATTTCCCCCGTACTGGTGGTTCTGCGGACACCTTACTTTTTTGTTGTTGTTGTTTTGTTTTTTGGTTTTTCGAGACAGGGTTTTTCTGTGGCTTTGGAGGATGCCCTGGAACTAGCTCTTGTAGACCAGGCTGGTCTCGAACTCACAGAGATCCCCCTGCCTCTGCCTCCCTAGTGCTGGGATTAAAGGCATGCGCCACCAACACCCGGCTTGTGCCACCACTGCCCGGCTTCGGACACCTTACTTATACCATCTGAGATGCTAACCACACCATGGTAAGGAGAAAGAGCTATTCTGTCTGTGCTCATCCATACATTAGGAAACAGGCTTGAGGAACTTCCTTCCCCAAGGCTTTCCTGTGGGTACCAGAGGCCCAGCACAATACTATTTGGGATGAGAGTCCAGAAAAGAGAAGGGTAGTTTTCTCCACTGGGGCAGAGGGAGGAAGGGATGATCACAAGAGGAAAGTCATGTTTGTAGGCACAGATGATGAGGAGGGAGGACGGGTAGGATGAAGACAGGCTTATGGAGTAGCTATGGGACCGAGGATGTCAGCCAGGTCCCACCCAGTCCTGAGGAGCAGCTGTAAAGGCAATGGGAAGGATAAACTACATACATTGACACCATCCACATATCAGACCCTGGGCCTCCTGCAGTCTGAAGTGCTAGCAAAGCCACCACCGTGTCCTGGCCACGACAGTGAGAACCTTTGGGTTAGCCCTATGCAGACTTGTGCTGGTAGAGAGCAGGAGCATTCTGTGTGGTACCCAGCCTGGACCCAGGCCACAGAGCTAACGGACAGCCTACCTTCAGGGAGAGGGCAAGGCGGTCCCGGATGTAGTTCTCCTCCGTTTTGGCTTTTTCAATTTCCCGCTCCAGCTCCACCCGCTGCTTGCTCACTTGCTGCAGGATCTGCTCCCTCTCTTGGCGGAGTTCATTCTTTAAGGCTGCTATGCGCTCCTTGTATTCCTCATCCAGTTTCCTGTGACAAAGGGCAAGTCAATAGGTGGCCTTTAGATCCCCCGGAGGGACAGTACGTGAAGGCTCCAAAACTGCAGAGGGAGGTGCAGATTCAGAAAGCACATTGAGACAATGCCTAAAGTGTCCTACCTTCCCAGAGGCTGGGCTACACCCCTGCAGTCAGATGTGACCCCTAGCTTTGTTCACACCCTGCTCTGAGTGGGGGTGGAGGGGACAATGGGGGTTCCGAGAGATGGGGAAGGACCCTGACCATGTCCACTGGCTATACCTGAGGTTGCATTCATTCCTCCGTTCAATGGCTGCATGGTGATCGTCGACCTCTGAAGCCATCAGAGACTTGAGCTTCTCTGCCTTGTCCAGGTCCGACCGGAGCTTCTCTTTCTCTCTGACCACTTGGTCAACTCGTTCCCTAGAATTAGAAATCAAGTGAATTAGTAGGAGGCTGTTTCTAAGCTACCAGGAGACCCAAGAAAGCTCTCATCTGGCTCACTTCAAAACAAACACAAAACCAAGACAACCAAAACCTTCCCCAAACAAAAATGCCATCCACGGTTCCCTTCAAAAGCTCCAGCCAATTGGAACCCCAGGCGGCTTCCCCTCAGCTGAGGAGGTTGACTGTTTAATATTTAGATATGAAGGACAGCCACACTGTGGACAGGAAAAGGCACCAGATGATGCCGATGTGGGAGACAAGTTGTCAAGGGAATGGACCAAGCAAACCTGCTCAACTTACAACAAATGCCGGATCTCAGCCTTGAAGCTGGCCAGAGCTGCCTGGTGGATGCCGTTCTTGGTAACCAAAAGTTCATTTTCAAGAGCCAGCGTCAATTCTGTCAGGTTGACATTTCCATCCAGGCTGAAATCCAAGGCCTGGGAATCAGAATACAACAGAGTTAAAACAAAGGACGAGCCCCACTTTCAAAGAGCAGAAAGTGTGAAGGCTGTATAAATGCAGACTGAAGCCAGCCTAGAGACCAGGAAAGTCCCTCTCAGGACAGCTTCATCTAGATCATAGGTTTCCTACGGAAACCAAACTTGTAGTTCATGAAATCCCACCTGACATTATAAACAAGCACAGTAATGAAATTCAAACTCCGCCAACAGAAGATTGGTTAAGAGCTTTCTTATGTCAATAATTTGAGATTAAAAAACAAAGCATGGACCTACTCAGCCACAGGAAACATTAAGTCATTCAAGGATAATCAAGTCAAATGCCTTTCAAAAGATAAAGTGACACCCCCTTCCTGGGATTGCCAGTTTAGCTGCCACACCTTCAGGATCTCCTGGCTGTTTTCAATGCCTTCTTCCTGCCAGGCATCCAGGATCCTCTCTACAGACGCCTGGCCCATCCCATCATCCAAGCAGGAGAAGACCCGGAAGCCAATGGTGCTTGTCATCGCTGACGAGGTTGTGGTCCGCCGTCCACTCTCATCAAATGACTGAAGAAGGAAAAGGGTCTTAAGCACACTAAGGTGGGCCCCAGAAAGTCAGCTGGATACTGGTTAAGACTGAGACTGCCGGTCCTGGCAGAATTTAGTTTACACAGCTGGGGGTGGAAGTGGGGAAGCCATGATGTGCCTTTGATGTGTGGTTCCCAGTGAGCCAAGCCTACAAGCTTATCAGAAAGAACTGCGCTGGGAGAGTTGGCCCTAGATGAGATGCAGGTCTACTTGATGCCAGGGTTCCTCTACCCCACACTGTCATCAGGAGGCCTAATTAGTGGCTCTCACACTCTGTAATTTACAGCAATTACTCAAACCATCCTTCCCTTTTCACATTTCAACGTCTTTCACATTCTCTAGAATACCTTTTCCTGGGGCTGGAGAGATGGCTCAGAGATAAGAGCACTGGCTGTTATCCCAGAGGACCTGGGTTTAATTCCAAGCACCCACATGACAGCTCACATCTGTCTGTAACTCCAATCGGGAAATCTGACACCCTCACACTAGTGCATATAAAATTAAATAAATTATTTTTTTTTAAAAAAGAATACTTTTTTTCAGGGCTGGAGAGATGGCTCAGAGGATAAGAGCACTGCCTGCTCTTCCAGATGTTCTGAGTTCAATTCCCAGCAACCACATGGTGGCTCACAATTCTCTGTAATGAGATCTGGCACACTATGTGACCTGTAGGCCTACATGTAGGCAGAACATTGTATACATAATAAATAAATAAATCTTAAAAAAAAGAATACTTTTTTCTTCTTGATATTTTGCTTTAGATAGAATTACTAAATGGGTTTTACACACAGATTTCGATAGAAACTATTCTGTTGATTCTTCTTTCCTAAGACAGGTCTCACTATGTAGCCCCCGCTAACCTCCAGCTTGCATTGCTGCTCTTGCCTCTGCCTCCCTGGAGCTGGGATTGCAGGTGTACACCACCACACCTGGCTCTGCCACTGATCACTTACCTGCATAGAGAGATGTCGCTTTAGTTGTCTGTAGGGAGTAGATGCTGATGGTGCGAGCGATTTCCCAGTTTTAAACAGACCATAGAAAAAGTCTTCCACACTCATTGTACCATCAGGATCGAGACTGAGAAAGACTTCCTCCAACATCTAGGGAAGAGCAAGCCCCTGTTTTACACGCAGACAAACACCACATGCACAATGTACTTCTGGCCCGTAGAAATCCATCCCACTGTGGACTCTAAGACTCCAGACATAATTCTGTCTCCAGTTACATTTAAAAGAATTCCCTCTCCAGAAATGATGTCCTTCCTCAAACAAAAGTCCATTTTTATCATCTCCATAATATTATACAGTTTAGCAATCAACTTTTCTCCCTCTCACTCATCTTTCTAGGACAGGCAGCCTTAAATGTCACTGGTATTATTATTATAAATTAAAAAAAAACTTAATACATACAGCTCATAATCCTAACAAGATGTTAGCTGGATATTTATTATGCCTTCAAAATGTGGTAGTTCTAAGTGATTGATATCTGACTCATATTGAAATTTTCAGATTGTCATGTGTGATGACGGTTAGTGCTAATGTTAACTTGACAGGATTTGGAATAACAGGAGAGGCTCCTGGGGCATGTGTGTGTGTGTGTGTGTGTGTGTGTGTGTGTGTGTGTGTGTGTGTGTGTGTGTGGGGCGCCAGCCTACCTGTTCCTGATTATGAATGTTATAAATGATCAACTGATTGAGTCCCTGCTGCTCTAACTTCCACGCCAAGATGGACTGTGTTTTGCATGATGAAGCAGAATAACCCTGTTCTGGTTTGAATGAGAATGGCCCCCACAGGCTTGATTCACAGTGGAAATTTTTAGGAAGGATTAGGAGGTGTGATCTTATAGGAAGAGGTGTGTTACTGGGGTTGGGCTTTGAGATTGCAAAAGCCCACCTCAGGTATAGTCTTCTTCCCTCTCTGCCTATGCCTGCAGATTGGAATATAGGCTCTCAGCTACTGTTCCAGTTCTACGCCTGCCTCCTGCTGCCATGCTCTCTGCCATGATGATCATGGACTCACCCTCTGAAACTGTAACCAAGCCCCCAATTAAATGCTTCTATGAGTTGTCTTGGTCATGGTGTTTTGTCATGGCAATAGAACAGTAACTAAGATAAAGCCCTTTCTCCCTTAAGTGCCCCCCCCACGTGTCTTTCCAGAATGTTTTATTACAGCAATAGGAAAAGAAACTCAAATAGCATGCTAATACTGCCAATTTGGTCTGGGACAGATTGCATTGATATTCCTTGGAACATGTTAAAATTGCGTTTTAATGTGTTAGTCCAGGAACGAGCAAGACTGGTTGAGAATGATCTTGTGTGTGTGCAAAAGGAGGATCTCAGTATATTGAAAGATGAAGGAATTTTGACTCTCCATTTTGCACTCTCTGTTGGCCATCATCTAATTTTCATCATGTAACAGGAACAGGAAGACTGGACCACAGCCCACGTGGTCAGAGGGACGGTTTGTTTATTAGTCCCACAGGAATGGGAGAGAGGGAAGGGTAGTATGAATCACAGAAGCCACAGGCAGGAGGAAAGGCACAGGCCTCCTACTGAGATTCTCCTCACTCTGTGTGACGAAAGTTTATTATGGAACAGGCCTCCGGGAACACAGCAGAGGCCACTCAGATCTTACAATGCCCACTGCTGTAGTATGCTAAGGGAGGGGCTAGAGACTGCACTGCTAACAGGCTCCCACATGCTGTCCAGGCCACCAAGAAGTAAGAAGACAATATGCTAATGAATTTTATCTCAAAGGCTTTTTCCCAATTCACAGGAGACATATGTTTCATTTGGGAGAGGATTCTGAGACAAGGAAACTTTTCTGGAAGATGAAAATCTGTGGAAGAAATAACAGGTTCTATAACTGATCTTGTGATCAGTGCCATGTGAGATGGGAGGCTCAGGCTGCCAAAAGCCTTCTTTCTTTCCTGTCTCATTCTCACCAATCAAAAGAACTAGATCCTAGAGGAAGTGGCTCTGAGGACCATCCAACCAGAAATGTCCATGAAATCCAGACATACTGCTTGACCTTGGCCAAATTAGTGCAGTTTCTAGGTAGCCCGAACACTCATCACTTAACTTTATTTTCAGTCAGAGCTCAGGGTGAGAAGTGGTGGGTAAAAGGGTGTGAATTTAGAAATGGATGGATGGTCAGGACTGGACTCAAGAGAATGCTGGTTACATGAGCAACTGAGGTGCCTGCCCTCTTTGGGAACAGGGATCCCATCTAGAACAAGGACATTTTCATTGCCACACTGGCCACATCTGTGGGTGGCTGACTTCTCTGTGTGTAGGGTGAGAAACATGCACCAGAATAGGGTCCAGGAACTGGGACACCCACAGGGGCCTGGAAGATATGAGTGACCGAGGCACAGAGGCTTGCTTCCACCATCAGAAAGCAAGTGATGAGGACTAAGCTAGCTGAGCACACGGCTGCCTGTGGTCTCCAAAGACGATGTCTGTGGCTTGCTATTACAAAATTTAGGGAAAACTTCCAATTTCAAAGACTGTGCCTCGAAGTTCAACTTTAAAATACTGCACCCATCAAACGAAGTCACCCTTGGGTTTGAAGTGCTTGGCTCCGGGGAGCAAGTCTGCAAGCCCTGCCCTCTTCACTGTCCTCACTAACAGAAAGTGAGGTGTGAGTGACAGCCAGAGAACAAACCTAGTTCCCTCTCATAAAAACGGGGTGTCAGTGATCTCACTGGCTTCATTTACAAAAAGGCTGACAGAGTTCAAACTGCTTTCAGGTGTAAAATTCCAGGATCCCAAGTCCTACGCTAATAACACCAGCTTGGACTTCACTCCAGTTTCGAGCTAAGGACTCAAAGTGCAGACATCTCCTGACTCCTTGTGGTGGGAGGGGGTGGAAACACTGAGCAGGAACACGCTGGTTCTGTGAGCAATGCCTTCCTAGTCTGCATAGCACAGGGAAAGAACTGAAAGTGCCGTCTGCCATCTCAGGTTTTAGGAGGGCCCAGCAAAGAAAAGCAAGCCAGCTCCTTGTGAGCGGCTGTGGTTTATATTCCAAGGATTGTTCTCAGATCTACAATTCAAGTTTGTGCAATGTCTCTCGACTTGAAAACAAAAACAAAACAAAAAACAACCTAAGGCTCTTTGTACCGCATTGGTTCAGAAATTAGGACAATTAATTTGATTTTATGACTCAATAACCACTGTTGAAAAACAAATGAGCACTGGGATATTACAAAGGTTGTCAGGGGACTTATGTAATCTCATTGGATGAGAAAAAGAAAAAAAATCAAAATCCAAACTTTTCTGCAAGTCAGGCTAGTTGGCAACCTTTATTTAACATGTTACCACTTTCCCCTACGGAGGCAGCCAGCGTGGTGTCAAATATCATTAGAATCAGGGATTCTGGAGCAGTGTCTGTTCTAGCTCTAACCTCTAGCTACCTAACCTCTAGCTCCTCCTAATCTTTATGTGTAGCTTTTTGAAAGACATGTCTTAGAATTTCTGTGCTTCATGACTGCCCACATACTAATCCTAGTGATCTTCTCTCGATTCTTCAGAAAAACATGAAGTAGAATCTTAACACCAAGAGCTCTCTGGGGGCTTCAAAACTCTCCCTGCTTTCAAAACCACCAGCCTACCCGACCCCATTTCCTCATGGTCAGAACCGGGCTGTTCTGCACAGCCGAGGCTCCCTACACACTGGTATGCAAATTTCAAACCATGGCTGCTGAAGCTGCCTGTCCCATTCACCACTCAGTCCACCTCAGGGCCCAGCAATGACACTGAATTCTTTCCAACACTGAAAACTCAGCAGCTTGGCCATCAAAATGCTCTAACTCCAGTCTGTGACGCTCCCTAATTCTTCCTCCATGTTTCCCCACATTTTACTCCTTTGGTTGCTGCTTCTACAACTATTTGCTGGCAGTGTTGAACTTGTCTGGCCATCTCAGATGAGGTAACACGCACAGTAGGGGACCATATTATATATTCAGGAAGCTCAGCCACATCAGCTTTGGTTTCTGCCACACAACATGACTTCCCAAAGCCAAAAAGAGTGTACAAGTAGAATGTCTTCCTAGGAAAAAAGAATGCTGTGCCAACCCCCCCCCCCCCAATCAGAACAAAGTGCTGGGTTTACCGCTCCATCCACATTCTGTAATCCGTACTGTTCGCAGATGGAAACCAGCTTCTTCCGGTTCAGGTGACCATCTCGAGTGATCCCCAGATCTTCACAAACCTCTTGCAGTTTCTCTTCTATCCAGTCTTGGGGAGGGCAAGACCCACTGTGTGATGCATTCAGGTCATCTGGGTTCCAAAACCTTAGCTGACCTAAAATCAAAGCATATATTGTGTTGTCTCTAAAGGCACAGGGATGGTGCCTGTTAGAGAAAACGTACCTTTGGAAAATAATTCTTTCAATTGGTTTTTAAGCTTTTGCATGTATGAGTGTTTGGCTTGCATGTATGTCTATGTACCACATGCATATAGTGCTCATGGAGGGATTAGAGTTGCAGATGGTTATGAGCCATCAGGTGGTATTGGGAATCGAACCTGGGTCCTCTGAAAGATCAACTAGTACTTTTTCTTTTTCTTTTTTTTTTTTTTTTTTTTTTTTTTTTTTTTTTTT